AAATTGTGATTTAAATTTTAAACTGGATGCAGCCAAACTACCAAAAACAAAATCCATGCATGGTGTTTTTTAGACTTTTTGGGTATCAAAGCCAAAATCCTCTAGTGACTGTAACGGATATAAGACTCGGACACTCAGCCAAACACAGCAGTTAAACATTTACAGAAGATATTTTAGAATGTGGGGGAATAAGGGAAGAGTAGAAAGTTCTGCTGGTAGGAAAACTGGAGATGGAGCAGCATGTGTTGTGATGGCGGGGTGGGGTGGGGTGGGGGGGGGGGGGGGGGACTGTCCTGGTGCCAGCTCTGGGAACTCCTCTTCATGCCTATGGATTTCAACTCCTCTACTCAGAATGACACCGACAATTAGTACAGCCCAACAGAGATTCATGAATCCAAAATCCAATGTCTAGGTGAGGTACAGGCAAGGTCACACACAGGCAGGCAGAGTCCGTGGACAGAAAGCGTGGTCAAAAATTGGAAAAGGGCTTGGCTGAAAATCATTGCTGGAGTCTCTACTGGCACAAGGCTGTCGATCATCTGGCAGGGAGACGATCAGACAGGACTCAGGTGAACTGTGTGAAGCTGATTAGTGACAGGACTGGTAGAAAGGAAAAAACAAACACGACAGGCATGGTAGAACAATGTGGAATCATTAGAATCATGGACAGAGGTCAAAGACTGCATATTTCTGATTTAATTTTAATGAGTGGGTTAATCTACACATTGTAGTTCAAAGTGAAGCTTTTTGTTCTGATGTAATTCATGTTCACTGTTCCTGGTCCAGGTGTAGGTGAGTATGAGAGGTGACCTAGTTGTTCTCTCCTCCTTCAGGGAAGGACGCAAACTTAAATGCCAGTGAATGTTTTATGGGTCTGATGTGAACTGATGACATAACATAACTTTTGCCTGTCAGCACGCAAGCGTCTGCTAACATTGTGTTCATGTGAACATACAGAAATTATGGTCAGTGATAACTAGGACTTTAGTGTGTGTAACCCTAAAGACTCCCAAACAGGTGAGACCATAAGGTCAGGAGTGCAGCACGACGCATGATGCTGCTGCTGCATACCTGTGACTGTCATTAAGGTGCTACGACACCTCACAGAGACATGATGGAGGACAGGGCGGAGTAGAAGGACAAGGATGAGTGTAATGTAACACCAAATTAACAGCTTTCACCCTAACTACAGTTTCTACAAGCAGCGTCTCTTCTTCCTCCGCAAACTAAGAAGAGCAAGAGCACCAGCCCCCATCCAGTACACTTTCTACAGAGGCACCATCGAGAGCATCCTGGCGTGCGGCATCACTGTGTGGTTCGGAGCCGGCAACGTTTCATGCCTTAAAACCCTCCAACGTATAGTGAGAGCAGCAGAGAAGGTCATTGGGGTCTCTCTCCCCTCCCTACCAGACATTTACAGCACCCGCCTCACAAAAAAGGCCCTTCGCATTGCGGCTGATCCCACTCACCCGATGCAAAGCCTCTTCGAGCTGCTGCTGTCAGGGAGGAGACTGCGGAGTCTCAAGGCCAGGACCAACAGACTGAAGGACAGCTTTACCCATCAGGCAGTTAGGAAGCTAAACTCCCTCCCGGCGCTCCCCCCTCTCCTCTCTTTTCCCCCACAGTCTCTCTGAACTTGGTTACTGTTTTTATACTAAATGTTTATTTTTTATCTAGCGAGAGTTTGAGAGTAACGCCATTTCATTTCTCTGTATGTCCTGTACATGTGGCAGAAGTGACAATTAAACTGACTTTGACTAACAAACCATCTTTAGAGCTTTGGAATCGGTGCTAGAGCATTGCACTGAAATAACTTCACTGTTTCTGTGAGAAAAGCGTGTAACACTAACATTAGAGTTCACCTGCAGGGTTACAAGTTTACCTGATGTGGGATTCACAGACTGCACATCTTTAGTTTTGTTGGTGATGTATTGTTTTGGTAATTGGCTACGCTCACACTGCAGGTAAAGGCGTGTCAAATCTGCTTTTTTAAGATCAGTACAAAAAGGCCTTGATGCAGCGCCTCCTGAACACGAGTACCTCAGTTACAGGAGCAACACCCTGACCTGCATGTCATCTTCACGTGCATCGTAACGCTGCAGGAATACTTTCTCATTTAGCTGACAACTGTTTAATGAAGCCTTGGGGTCCTGCCGGAGGAGCTGGTGGACAAGGCCGGGGAGAGGACGGCCTGGAGCTCCCTAGTTGGGATGCTGCCCCCGCGACCCGGACCCGGATAAGTGGAGGAAGACGACGACGACGACTGTTTAATGAAGTGCTTTACTGACTATATTTCATAAATATGAATTTATCTTTATCCCATGCTTTGATGTTTTTATGTGTAAATGTTTTTGACTGCTCGATCACACTGATCTTCATTCTGTATCTCTTTGTATTGGTGGTAAAACCACATATTTGTTGTAGTCTGTATTGATGCTAAAATGATGAAAGTGATTCTGGTCCATTAATTTTTCTCAGAATTTCTAAACATCAACAGCAAAACCACTTGTTGACAAACTGATTGCTGTAGTCTTTTTGCAACAATAACTCTGGATATTGTTGGCTTTAGATAATCAGGAAGCACCTAGAAAGTTTCCTCTGCTCCTCCAACTGTAAGACTTGCTAGTTTTAACCGCAGAAAAACCACAAAACCTGCTGGACACCGGCCCTCCAGGACCAGGATTGGGCACCCCTGGCCTAAAATGTCAGACTGACAGTTCCTAAAGATGGGGCTGACCCTGGTTGGAAAAGGACTGGCCTTAGGAGTCACAGAAACGCTAAAGGCAGTAACACATGGAGCAACTGGTGCAGCATCGGTGATACTCTCTGGTTTGTGGCAATATGCTAAGATACCCATATTTGTGGTGGGAGGAGTTCTGATTCTAGGGGCAGTTGCAAAGCTGATGATTACTCTGAATTGCCTAACCAGACACCACCTCCAACCCAGAGAGGAAGAGGAGGAGCACTCTGAGAGGGTAAAACCTCAGAAAGCAGGAAGAAGGAGATTCAAACAGAAAACTGCTCGAGAGACAAGAGTGCAGAAGGTAACCTGGTACCAGGATGAATCGCTCAAAAACTAGTAACGGCACACTCGATGCAGAGGAACGATGTGCTGGTCACTATGGTGAGAGGATATTTTACAGCAATCATGACCAGTGTGGTGGCTAGCACCCGCTTCTGGATCCAAGACTCTAAAAAGGGTATGCTAAAAGCTTTGGCTCTGCTTGGACTGTTTTTGCTTCACTGTGTATTTTTGGGAAAATACCTTCCAGGTGCAGGATGGCTAAACCTGTTCCTCATAGGGGAACAAGGACCGCTTGAGGCTCTCAGTACAGATGTTGGGTGTCTGGGATCGCTAATTGATGTGTTGCAATTTACATATTTATCCCAAGAGGCAATAATAGCAATTAATATCGTGGCGTTAATCGCCATAGAAGGGATGATTACTGTGTACTGCATAAAGAAACCCCAGGTACATGGATAAACAAAGCCAAAGAGAAGAATGTGGCGTGGTTTGATGTATGTGTGGGGGGGACTGGGTCTGATTCAGATGAATCACCAGATCAGAGCTGATAAAGCATTTTGACTGTGTCTCTTATCCGCTAATTCAGGGGGCGAGTCGACTCCCTTGCACGCTTTCTCATTTCAGGGAGCGGCAAGGAGGCGCTGAGTGGTGTTGGATTTCTACTTCCAGGGGTAACTATGTACAAGAACGCAACGAGCCAGAGTCAGTCCCGGTGCCAGAAACAGTGACAGTACCAGTACCCATTCCGGTTCCAGTACCAGAACCAAGACCAGCACTTGTGGTTGATCTCCGCAAACCCCTCCCAGAACCACCAAGTTTTCTTATTTCTAGCGCCAACGGGCCAGTAAGGGTGTGAGCCGTGCCACCTCCAAGAACACAACACGAGTGTCTGGCCAGGGAGCATGCAGTATCTCCCCCAACTTGTCCCCTGCCCTGTCAGTGGCTTCCAGGGGCATGTTGAGAGGAGACTTGAGGCAGACTCACTGAGTGTGTTTACATGCAGCCAGTAACCCTTTTAAAACCCGAATATTCACAATAACCCGGTTCCGCAGGTCCTTGTAAACACCGCCAAAACCCGGATATGCTCATAACCGGGTTTTTAAAAACCCGGTTACCACACCTGGGGTAACCCTTTTCTAACCCGAATGTTTGGTCGTGTAAACGCATATCGGGATATCCCCATCAAAGCGTGTGTTCTGTGCATGCTCTGTTCGCAAAGAATCTTGGTCTTTTGAGTAGCGAGACGTCTTGTATGCGCCAGAACACCGGAAGTAAACAACAAGTTGGGAGCAACATGGCGAGTCGCGACACAGCACCACACTTTCGGAGTGACGAAGAAACTAAAGCGCAAAGAAACGCGGTCGCTATCTCTTCCGAACTGGGAAAAATGTTGTTTTCACGGATACCGGAACAAGAAGAACCGGAAATTACGCATATTGCGTCTGGATGTAGTCCACACGTCCTGACGCTACCCCAACGTCCGCATTTAAATCGGGTTATGCACGTTAGAGGTAACTCTTTCTATTTATGCTTGTAAACGGGTTATTCTGATCAACCCTGAAACCCGAATACCGGCCTTAACCCGATCATAACCCGGATATTGGCTGCATGTAAACGTAGTCAGTGATAACATGATTTGAGCCTGGGCCAAGCTCCTCTCTGTGTGAGTGTTAACTTCTGACCTCCAGCCCCCCCAAACCCACTGCTACAATCCAAATATTTTAATTGTTTCCAGAGACATCTTTTGGATGTTAAACAATGCATTCCTACAGTTTAAATCCCGTAAACACCATTAGGATGAATACCTTTACATTTACCACCATTAGAATTATTCTAGAGATCACACTTAGAAACCTACAATTTCTGATGTGGCATAAAATAAAGATCAGAAGTAAAATCCTTTGCTGTCTTTTTATCAAACTAACAAACAACATGGAGTTGAAAACCAAAGCATTAAAATAAAAGATTTTTTTACCTTTTCACTCCACAGCATTCGGTTATCTGTTCCCTCAGCAAACAGGAAGTCCTGCAGCAGCCTGAGAAGCCGCATCAGACTTGGAAAGAAGGGTAGAGTCACTCCCTGTGCATCCCTCAGGTCTGATAAAGACGACTCCAACATCATCTCCAAAAGACTGAACAGACACATCATTTAGACTAAAAGTGTTTTAGAGGGAGGTGAGTCTTTTTGTTTGAGAACCGACCTGCGTTTAATTTCATCAGGAGGACAGATCAGCTGGCAAGAGGAGCCCAGTTTGGTGAGGACAGAAAACACCTGCCCCCTATCCCTCCACACCACATCATCTGGTCCTTCTGCTCCACTGCCGCGCCACAACACAGCAAAGATTATGTTGGTGAGCAGGTTGCACAACTCCTCCTCTGGGCTCTGCAGGAGCAGACAGATTTAGATGTAACCACTGCTCAAGAACATCTTGGAAAACCTTCTCCAGAACATGTCAGTGAGGTTTAGTATGATGGAGGAAGCGTACCTGAGGGTTGGATGAATTGGAGATTGTGTCTCCAGTTGGAGGATCTGTCCCGTAGCTGGTGTCATCTAGAACATTGGACAAACTGGAGCTCTTCCTTGGTCTGAGAGGAGGAAATGGCTTTGAGTGCTCCTGAGGAGATGGTGTGTTGGTGAGGCTTCCTGCAGGAGTGTGAGATCCAGCATCCCCCAGCCCCCCTAACTCCAGATCAAAGTGTGACGTTCCAAATGGGGAGAATGGCTTGTAGTCTCTTCCCTCGCCTTCCAGCTGAGGTGAGGTAATATCAGTAGCATTGGAGGTAGACGAGTGGCTCGCCTGGTCCACAGAATCAAACGATTTAAAAAGAATTGAGCCGGTGAACATTTTGAGCGAGGCTCCATCTCCACCGAGAGGTGACTGCGATAAATCAGAGAATCTTTCAGAGATTTCCTGCTGAGTGCATTCGTCATCCTCCTCGTCCTCGATGTCCCGTGAGTTATAGTTCATGAAGATGTTAGTGGGGTTGTCCTCTATGACAAGAGACTGATATTTGCGCAGGTGAGACCGGTAGTTGGGTATTAAGGACCCCTGGTGGCTGGACTCATGGGACTCGTAGGACTCCTTCACGTAGAGTTTGGTCAGAATGTCCTGCCAACTGGGCTGTTTGGCCAGCTGTTTCACATAATCCTCATTGGAGTAGATCAGATGGAAGAGCTGGAGAAGGTCCAGGAGAAACATGAAGCTTGTCTGATACTTTATTTTTAATCAAAATGATGAAATGCAACAATAAAATTAAATGTAAATGAAACACAGACCTTACGACAAACATCCAGTCGGATGATGAGTTCAGCTCGATGGGATAAACAGACCACAGACAGCAGATCTCTGAAGTTTGGACTGGCATCTGTAGGGCAACAGACAGCATCACAATCTGTTTAGATCATCTGTTATAAACCACTCACTTCAAGGTTCAATCGTTCTCTCTCATCCCTCTCATTCTCACGTTCATAAAGCTTCTTTCTGGAGTAATTCTCTTATCCAATGGCACCATCTAGTGGCTGACAAGCGTATCACACAAAACCACTGTTCTATTTTTTTAAGATGGCGACTTCACGTTTCTGTTTATAAATGTGCTTCAGTAGCCAACAAACAGCGCTAAAACACGTAGTTTTACGAGTATTATTCTCATGTCATGCTGTGTTTTCATAAATTTATGTTTTAGAGACTTTCTTGTCTGTGAAAAGTTCATCAACTCTGCATAAGCCGAGGTGTTCCTTAAATGTGAAGCGTCTAAGCGGCAGTCTAACACTATTGGTTAGTTTTGGTCGGCGCTCAGTTGCCTATTGCACGGAGCTTTGCCGGGCAGGGGGCGTGCTTAGCAAAAAAAAAAAAAGACGTACAGCTTATATTACATCACAGTACATGATGAGATAATCACTTTAACGGATTTCTGACAAATCATACATAATTTCTGAAAGAGGAAAACTCCGGAAAGCAGCTTTAAGTACGTGTTTAATCATTTTTATGTCAATCCATCAATGTTTATTTATTTATTACACAACTCAACAGGATGACCAAAGTGCTTAATCTAAGAAGAAAAACAACAAAAAACAACAAGAAAATAATTAAGAACTACTGTACAAAGTAGAAATCTGAAATGATTTAAATAATGTATGACTTGTGTGCTTGTGGCTCCCTGTCTTAGATTGAGTTGATTTAAAAGTACTCTAATGTTTTCCTTTAAAAGTTACTGCTATAATTCAGAACTTGAATTTCTCCTATAATTACCACAGAGAAGTAGATTATGGCTTTTATTCTTAAAGTGGGAGTCAATGCATGGGTGGAGACTTATTTCAACCAGACTTCCTGTTAGAAAAATACCTGGTGTTGCCTGAAGGACTGAGAGTGGCACTGAGGCAATGACTGGCAGCACCCCCTCAACCCCCCCGTGTACGCTCTCTGAGTTTCTCAGTCAGGGGAAAAAAAGAGAGTCTTTGACAAGCGCACACACACACAAGGAGCAGACTTACTGCTCCGGAGAAAAGCAGACACAGAAACTGACTGCAGGATGGAGCATTTCTTGTTCGTCTCCTTCATTAGAAAAAAGGGGAGGAGGACGTTTTTCTCAAGGGTTAGGGCTCCGAGCGCTGACGTCGTTAGGTCCGTTTTAGGGGGACTTCAGCCCCCCTAAAATAATCACAAGCCCCCCTATCATTTTGGTTTATTTTATTTTTTTCAGTTAACTTTTTTTATTTGTTCACATCTACATGCTGAACACAACCATGACACGTGTAATTGGTACATGAGTTTTTTAGTCTGAAACAGAAATAATAATTAATGAATATAGAACTACACCGTCGCACACAGGAAGTATCAAGAAAGGACTTCCTCCACTTCCTTAAGCCCGCAGCTTTGTTGACAAGTCAGGGGGCGGGTCGATACAGAAAAACCTTTATATCGATGAGCAAACCCTGCTCAGCGCTCATGTAAGTCACTCAACATCACATTAGGGTAAGACAGCAACAGCAGCACACCGTTAATATTTCAAGGTTATAGTTCAGACTTCAGAGAGAGGAAAATGCTACCGCACCGACATGCTAATGCTAACTCCGCTAGCATGTTTACATGCCGCAAACCAAAATGAAAAGCTTTGATGTCAAGTAAAATGGTCGGAAAACTCCCCTGAAGTGACATGATTAACGAGCCAGCCAGTTCATTGAGTGACTTACTGCCACCAACTTGAGAGTACAGTAATGAGTCTGCACAAAAAGAACCTGTTCTGCGCTTGTGTGCAGCAGCTGCAGCCCTCTCTATGGGATCAATTCTGCACATGCAAATCTCTCCCTGCTCTCCTCAACAAGTAGCCTCTCCAACAGTCAATCACAGACAGCTCTGTTTTATCCAACCAAAGCATGTTCAGGAAACACTGCTTTACAGAAAAACACCCATTTAACAGCTTATTAAACTGCTTTCTGCTGCTGGTTAGCTACCAGTCACCATCCACTGCCTGCAAGATACTTTGTTGTAATTCATGTGTCATGATTAGGGTGACCATATTTGACTTCCAGAAAAGACACATTGCCTATTCCTAAAACTGTTAAATTGCACTCTTTTCAGTTAAAAATGACTTTTAATTTCAACATATAAAGTGTTTCTTCTCTGTTTGGTTAGACATAAATGAGCCCTTGATGTGTAAAAGGAAGTGAACCGTGGAAATGTCCCAGGAAAAGAGGAGGGTTAATCAACCTAATTAAATATAATTATATAAAGTCCTCTTTATCTGAAAAAAGTGCAATTTTCCTGCCAGTATTTCCTGGACATGCTTTGATTGCATAATGGAGAGCTCTCTGATTGGCTGACGGAGAGGCTACATTGCTTTGTAAATTGCAAATTGAGCAACAGCAGGGAGATTTGTGCAGGCAGAGACGGAGTTGAGCATGCAGAGAGAGGGCTGCATACGACGTTGTGCTCTTGCAGATTGATCACTGCACGCTCCAGTTGGTGGCACAAAAATCACTCCACACTAAAAACCTGAATCAGAATCTGGCCGAATGTGTATATTATTGACCATTTTTCTATATTATATATATATTTTCTATAATATATATATATATATAATATATTATAGGTACATATATGTATCTATAATATAGTAAACAGCCAGTTTTATATATGTCACATATATTCAAAAGCTACATCAAAACATATATTAAAACCTATATGTTTATGACTTCTTTCCATGTGGGTTGTCAATTGCTTAATATTTCCTATGTTTACCTATGGTAAAGAAAGGAGATATTGTACTCATCTAACTTTAACATAAATTTTGGCAGCTCGATGTGATGTTATGGAAAATGCCATCATCATGAGCAACCAAACATGGGCTATATTAGGCTAACAGTTGTCCATATTCTGTACCATTTATCCACCAATGGCTGTTTCAATTATTGTGAGTGAAAACTGAATGGTATAGTAGCATTTGTCTTGGCATTAGAAATTGAAAATGTTTTTCAATGTGTTGGCTAGATGGATATACGAAGATTTTTTAAGAGAGTGAGTGAGGAACAGGAGAGAGACCAGGTGGTTGATGCTGAGGAGATCTGCATGGTCAAGGTCAGTGATCTACAGCGAAAACAGGGGCGAGTGCACCGTTATGAGCATTTACCTGAGCACAAAGTTCCCAAGCAAAATTGAACAGTTTTCTATTTAGGAGTGAACATGTAAGAGACATTGAGAAAAAAATAACTATAATTATCATCTGGCCTGCAACCTTATGTCAAGTTGTATCTGTATAGTTGACTTTCTGTATTATAAGTTCTACTACTTGCTGGATATTTTCATATATACTGTTATTTTGTCTTGTAATAGTTAATTATACACTCCTTTATTCCATATCATAGCAGTGTTATTCATATATTAAAACTGTCAACTGCACACTCATTTGGCAGAATAAAAGTTTGACAATTATTCATTTGTTCTTTATTGTCATATTTCAGTAACATTTATAATTTAAAAAGTTGTAAGTAAACAAATTAAATAAATGACTACAACATTTCCCCCTGTTAAGTGCAGTAGACTGAAATGAATAGCTTTATTTGGAAATATAACATATCTCATTTTTAATGGACTTACATAAAATCTTTCTTCAACATAGACCCCACTAATGAACTGATTAAGTGTTATTTTTTATGAAAAGAAGAGAGAAAATGCACAAAAGTAGGAAAGGAAAAGAAAGTGATAAAATAATAGGTTTTGTTAAATGTTCTTCAGATAATGAATTAATTGACAAAGTTTTTGCAGGGTGTTACAAAAAACGTTCGAGGTCAAGCTCCTGGGGCTAAGCCCCCCCTATATCTCAATCCTAGTGACGTCCATGGCTCCGAGCGCCAACGAGTCAGGTGAGGTTGAGCTAGGTGGAGGTGCGGCGAGACTCAGCAGGGGTTCAGTGCAGTGCAGCCACATGTACTGCACAGACAACGTGACCCTGCAAGCACCACAGCAGTCAGCTGTGGCTGACTCCAAATCAGTGTGGAGCAGTGTTTTAACCTGAAGATGAGATGAGATATACCGTATTTTCCGGACTATAAGCCGCTACTTGCGGCTTATAATGAGGTGTGGCTTTACTGAAGATTTTCCTTCACCTGCCACCAGGGGGCGCTTTAGCAGGAAGTGAAACAGGTGGAAGTCAAAAGTGGAAATCGAAGAAAGTGCTCATTTTAATTTAGCACATGCAAGCAGCCGGCACGGCGAAGAATGTTTTTCAAATCCATACCCCCTCATCATGGAAACTACACGTATGAGTTCATATGATGCCACATTTAAGTTGAAGGCCATCGATCTGGCAGTAAAGGAGGGAAACAGCGCTGCCGCACGTAAGCTTGGCATGAATGAATCCATGGTTCGGCGCTGGAGACGGCAGCGGGAAGAACTCATTCAAGCCAGCTTCACCCGGGGATGATGACAGCAACACGGACAGCGACGCTGACATCGCCACAGAAAAGTTATGTGACGAAGCTCTTCTGAGGCTGTTCAACTCCGACACTGAAGAAGAGGACTTTAATGGCTTTAGAGCGCAGGAGGAAGATGAGAGCGAATGACTTCTTCTGGTAGGCAAGTGTGTTTTATTTACTAACCAGGCATGTTTTGTGTGCAGTTTTTATTTTCTAATCATCCAGGGCTTATTAACGTTGTGTCAGCGCTGTTCTTTTCTTCTAAACATGCAGATTACCGGTAATAACGTGTCAGTGCTGTTTTTATTTTATAACCATCCAGAAATATGAATGCTATCAGCGCTGTTTTCTTTTCTACACTTGCAGCCACGTTAAACCGTGTTTATAATTCGTTTTGTTGAATTAAAACAACAACTAAAAACCTCCGTGTAGCGTCTTTCTGTCTAATTATCTT